TGTCTAATCTGGGTGCTGAAAGATGAGCCAGTGATACCACGCCAACATAGAACTGGAGATCCAGAGAAGCATTCCACTCGAAGGGCACATTTGCAGGTTTGAAGGCATGGGAGTCCATGTGAGAACAAGCCAGAGGACTGCAGTAAGCTTGGCCTGACTAGAGCCCAAGGTGAGTATGAAGGAGAAATGGGGACGATGCTGCAGAGATACATGTGGGTCAGGTCATGCTGGGCTTTGCCTGTCATCCCAAAAAGGTGGGACACATGTTAGTGGTTTTCAACCCTGTTTTAATGGCAGAACCCTTTGACCAGAACATTTTTAGCCAGCACCCCAATTATAAAACAGAAAAGTGAAGCAGCTTCAGTTCAATTGCATATGAGACTGGATGTGAGAAGTTTAGCACTTCCTCTCCCCTGGTCTCTCTTTGAATCCTCCAGTTCATGCTAGAAGCAACTGAGACAGTTGGAGAACCACATGCTGCAGGTGACAGTGATGTGGGTTGGCAGATGTGGCATCAGAGGGTTTTAGAAGCAATGCCACGATTCCCAGGTTTTTAATTTCCTTTTAATGGTAAAGAATATGGAAGTGCTTGGAACCTAGTAGGTACTCAGCTTGTGTGTCTGAGTATGTGTGTATGTGAGAGAGAGAGACAGACAGACAGACAGATGTGCGTAGTGCCCTGGGAAGGGTAGGAGTTTGGAATCAAGGGTGCCGAGTTCTGTTTTAGACAGAGTGGCTTAAAGGCACATTCAGAACATCCCCGTGGCTCTAGCAGGCACCTGGATATATGGGTGTGGCCCCAGGGCAACGGTGAATGCTGCCGTCATATACTTGTGAATTTTGCTGTGAACCTGGTAGCTGATGTTCTGGGCTTTGGTGCAATAGCCTAGAACTGTACAGAATGAAAAGTAGGCAGAGCTTGGGGGGGCCAATGACAATTAAGAGGCAAGTGGAAGAAGAGAAGGCAGGAACGGGACTGAGAAATGTAGAGGAGGAAGCAGGAGGAAGCAGACAAGGGCAGCGTCTCAGAAACTGGGTAAAGAAAAGGTTAGAAAGTAAACATAAGCTTAAACATGTCATCGGTATTTAATAGTTGGTTGCCAGGAAATGAAAAAGGAATAAAGGCATTTCGTTGGCATAGCATATTCCTTTTAAAATAAATCTGAAGCATACTTATTTTTTTCCAGAAGTACACGCCCTTTAATACATGAGTATAGATGAGTCTAGGAAAATAGCAACAGCAGCACCCACCATATAAATGTGATTGTTGTTTAGTGGAACTACTCCTCTCTCCTCTCCAGGGAGAAACAAATTCTCCCCAGTTTCTCTGCAGTCAAATTTTTACATTCAATTGAGTGTTCATTCTGAGTTTAAAATGATTCTGTGACTGAATGCTTAGAAACTTGTGCTTTGGTAAATTAAAAATCATTTTCCTAAAGTGATGGGCTAATTTGAAATTATTTTTTTCTTACTAGCTTTGATTTTTGTAGCCTAAATTGTAAGGCGTATCCCTCTGATTGCACCTATTGAAGAGTGCGGCTCCCCTGGGGGCAGGGAAGGCTCTGAAACCACTCACTGTGGGGCGGTTGCAGGTACTCGGTAGGGCTCAGTGGGTGCTCACTGAATGAATGGGTGGTATACTGTGGTCCCTCCTAATGATGAATCTGCATGCCAAACGCGTCTGTATTCAGTGAAATGAAAAAGGAAGCACGCGTACCCGAGTAATTAGAGATGAGAACTGCTTGCTCTTCACCTTTCTTATGGGTACAGTACTGTGCACAGGTGCTTCCCCCTGAAATCCCATTGCAGTTGCTGACTCTATTAACGCTTCTTGAAGAAAGTCTTTTCTAAAGAATAAGCAATAGGACATGGCCTTTGAATTCCCCAAGACTTGTATTCTTCAGATTACTCAACATCTGGATTTAGTTTATTCTCTCAACAAATATTAGTGTCTACTATACGTTAGGTCCTGAGAAAACGCAGTGAATAAACCCTGGAAGATCCCGTTGTCACCGAGCACATGTTCCAGCCCAAGGAGACAGGTGGCAACAAACAGGGCCATAATGTGTGTCAGAGGCGATGAGTGCTGAGAACAAAAAGAACGTGGGGAGAGGGGTACACAGCGGTGGAGGAGGGCCTGCGGTTTTAGACTGGGCAGTTACTGAAGGAGAACAGGTCAACCGAGACCTGAAGGAGGAAAGAGATGTCTGCTCAGAGGGCGCTGCCGTGTGCCCAGTTGCAGCCCCCAGCTCACCCCAGCCAACACAGGGGTGCGGTGTGGGGGCACATGCTTTGTAAATGCAAACATCAACCCAACCAAGAGCCCTGCAGCCTTGTAAACGTTGTGATAAATAGCTTAGATCAGCGATTTTCAACCGATGTGTCACAAGAATTTTTCAAACATGCAGTACCTGGCTCTTTAGTCAGGGGCGCTGACCTCCTTTGCCTTAGACTGTCAAATGAAAAGATGACAACAGCCAACACAACAGTAGCTATCTGGTGTGGATACCCTATCTTGAACCATAAATACATAGGTCATATAACAGTCGCATCATATTGGTCATGTCCCATGATAAGGTTGTGTCTGTTTAGTTCATTTTTGTTATCAGAAATCCTTATATGCAAGTTTAGTGCCTGACTTTTTTTAAAGTCAGTTTAGAGCAAAAAGGATAAGTAATTACTGTTATTTTTATAAATCTATCAAAATTGTACCTATTTTTGGTCATATTGGCAAAAATATTTTTTTGGGGTGAGCTGCAGAATTTTAGTAATTAGGTTATGTGTGCCATGAGATGACAAAGGTTGAAGATTGCGGGCTTAGGTAATAGCTATGAAAAATCAACTCTTCTGTTGTCATTGTAAGGCAATTTTTATGAATGAATTTAAAATTTTAAAAAGAAAACCTTCTATTATTCAAAAATCCAGAAGGGCCAAAAGTTCTTAGAAATGACTAAAATGACCTACTAATATTCCCTCATTTTTTTAAATGACAGCTTTTGCTCCCCTGCTGAGACTATGTATTATATCTAGTTTCACATCAAAATGAATTTTTACTGCTAAGTTTGAAAACCACCTGAATATATCAATTAATATTGGAAAAGCTGACGGAACCATAAGTGTATTGGCATGGTGGGTGCTGCTATAATTATGTTCCTGAGTGTGTACACATCCGTGTAAACACAGTGTGAAAACACACTTGACATCCAGGACAGTGTATCAGTGTTTATTCTTGCAGGTAAATGAGGGAAGGAGTGACGGGAAGAGAGAACTGATCGAATTTTTACAGCACTGTTAGGTGCTGTAGATGTTTCTAGTCTTACCTCTACTTAACCCTGGTTTTCAAACTACTTTCACATTCGCCACCTCATCTGATTCTCACAACTCGCTGTGGTGAGTGGAGGGGGCAGGTTTTGTTCTTCCCATTTGCTGGATGAGGAAACTGGGTGGGTCAGCCAGGAGGACTTGAGTGTTTCATCTGCCAAACAAGATTACACTAACATCTCCAAGGTCCCTTCTAGCCCGACAGCTTTATAGTTCTCTGATTTTCCTTTCTGCCACACAGGTCTTTCTTGAACTGGTCAACCCCTTCAGTGTGTGTTTAATAATCTGTCAAATGCAATGTCGCCCACGCAAGGTTGTTGGGAGAGTCTGAGAGGTTTGAAGGAGGGTGGAAGCACCTGGCACCATGGTGGCTATTATTATTATCATCATCATCATCATCCTCATCACTAGTACTAGGAAAGGGCAATGTAGTGTACAGGAAAGAACACTGGCATTGGAGTCAGGTAAATGTCGTCACTTACCAGGCATGTCATCTTGGCCAATTATTCAACCCTTCTGAGCATCCTATAAGAGGGGGCTGATGGTCCCTATGTTGTCGGTGGTTTGAAGACTCAAGGAGACTATGTAGAGCACCTCGCCCAGCGTCTGACACGTCCCAAGTGCTCAAACAACTAGCTGGCAGGTGTGAATGATCAACCACCTTTCATAAGAAACCAAGATAGATTTTCATGGTTCCCCCAAAACATAATGTGGCATTTCATCAAGGTGAAGTATAACCTTGAAATTAACAGAAGCACACAGTCATCTTTTAGACAAATAGAAAGAAAAGAAGATTCCGAAGCTTAGCCGTTTTGTGCACATCTAGGAGGGAGAGGAAAAAACCCACATGCACCCGGTAGTTAGCCCATGATCATTGTGGAGTTTCATGCCGGATGGTCTTCTAAAATCGGTGTATGTTTTATTCAAGTCTTCCCCTTCTCCCCACTGCAACAGTCTTACAAGGTTGTGCAATTTATTTAGAAAAGCCTGTTTACCCTCTTTGTACTGCTTTCTTTGGAAAGCAATCATTCGAGTACCGTGAGGAGCTGCTTTGCTATAATGATGACCATTTTAAAGGATTCACTGAAGCCAGAAACCAAGGCCCTTGTAGACTTGTGCCTGACAGCGTGGTCACAGAAAAGGCTGGTGGCGGGACTGAAATGTGAACCTTCTCCAATAGGGTTGTGGTTACTTGTCTCCATGCAGGATTTCTTGGTACTGAAGTTTCAGAGCACAATAAACTAACATTTATAGGCATGTGTTGCCACATGCTCTGGAGCGGGGTTGCAGACGTGTTGGCAGCTGCTAGCAAGTCGCAAGGTGGGCGGCACTGCCCTGGACCAGTTTCTTTAAAATGTGGTGCTTTCGTGTAAACCGCTGGGCCCAAAAGAGGTGTGTGTTGTGCAGAATACCAACTTCGAGTTGCATTGGGTTTATTACATGTGTTGTTTGAAAGCCACTGGCCATTTGAATATGAAATATATATATATATTTTTTCTTATTTGATTTATATCTATCCATGAAATTATTCTCACTGCGAATGCCCTTCCAGTGTGGACGTCTCAAGAACAATTGAGTTTTCTACCTGAGAGCAGTATGTTAAATGCTTTGACCGATGTATGTTGTGTTTGGTTGCTGTCCAGTTTTAAAATGTATAAATTTCCTTTTTAATGTTCTAG